TTGAAAAATACCATGATATACATTTTTGGTCATACCGCCCAGCACTAGCAGAAAGCATTACGTTTCTCCAGTGAGCTTGTTATATGAGAGTGAATCTCACATGGATCTGTCATGTAAACGTTCCGGTGTGTTGAGTGGGCTCACCCTGAAGAGGCTGTGTGTGTCCTGTGTGAGGATGGTGTTACGACGATCATCTGTGTGTGGATCAGGCACGGTTTCGATTCCTGCTCCCAACAGCTCGTTCCTCAGCAGTGCAGCATACGCCACAGCATCTGGAAAACACAATCATTTGTTTTGATATATTTTTCATTTTAATATGTATATCTTTTGCTTTAGTGTGCCAATAGACATTGAACATTGCTTTTTTCCCCTAACAGTTTTTAGCTGAAATAGAAAGCTTTATAAACACTATAAATGTCTTTAATGCATCCTTGCTGAATAAAAGTATTTTTCTTTCATTTCTTACCCAAAAAACAACAACATTTTACTGTTAACAGTTACAAAATTTTTCTATTTCAAATAAATGCTGTTCTTTTGAACTTTCTATCCATCAAAAAACCCTGAAAAGAAATTATGCACTACTATTTTCAACATTAATAATAATGAGCATATTCGAATGATTTATGGAGGATAATGTGACACTGAAGACTGGATTAATGATGCTGAAAATTCAGCTTCACAGAAATAAATTGCATTTAAAATGTATTCAAATAGAAAACAGTTATTTTAAATCGCAAAAATATTTAACAATATTAATGTTTTTTGTTGTATTTGGATCAAATAAACAGCCTTAGTGAGCAAAAGCTTCTATTAAAAAATAAAATAAAAACAAAAATGTATATATATATATATATATATATACTCAAAATGATCAAAAGTGACAGTAAACACTTTTATATTGATAAAAAAAATTCTGTTTCAAATCCATGCTGCTCATCTGAATTTCTATTCTTGAAAGAATCCTAAAAGAAGCATCACAGCTTCACCCAGAAAAATCTTACCAGCCCTAAACTTTTGAATGGTATTGTCTGTATATTCATCTGTTCACTGTGGAAAAATTGAGGGCATGTACAAGAAGATGCAGAATGACTTCACCTTTCCCTGTGTCTGTACTAGCATCCTTCGCCCACTGATTCTGATTGGGTGACCAACAGTTCTCCTGCAAACAAAGTGAATTTTTAGTGGTGAAATGACATTAATATACTGGCTTTAATCGATCGTTCTTCTTTACAATGGATGAGTGTAAACACTTCAGATGAATGGTAACTCACATTGGCATAGTGGAAGTTTATGCTCCAGTTGCTGCCAGCACGTGTGGGGATGAACCTGTCTCCTGATTTCACAGTAACCGGACTGCACGCTGCATAACCTGACTGCACACACAGCACAAACAGACAATCATCATATACAATATTTACATTTATGCCTCTTTAAAGGGATAGTCCACCCAAAAATGCAACTTCTGTCATCATTTACTTACATACCCTCGTGTCATTCTAAACCTGTATGACTTTTCTCCCTCTGTGGAACACAAAAGATGATATTTTGAAGAATGTTGGTAACCAAACAGTTTTGGATCCCATTTACTTCCATAGTAGTTTTTTGTCCATATTATAGACGTCAGTGGGACTTAAAACCATTACTAACATTCTTCAAAATATCTTCTTTTGTGTTCAACAGAAGGAGAAACGTCATACGGGTTTGGAACAACTTGAACTAGATAATAGTATATAACTGTGATATTATTATTTTTTGTCCCTTACAATACGAGAAGATTTTTTACAATTATTAGCTAATACATTAAATAATAAATGCTAATCTAATTATTCAAATTAAAATTGTATGTTAATGAACTGCTTGCACTGACATATTTGACACAAGAATGTGTTTACTGTGTATGTGACCCTGGACCACAAAACCAGTCATAAGGGTCAATTTTTCGAAACTGAGATCTATACATCATCTGAAAGCTGAATAAATAAGCTTTCCACTGATATATGGTTTGTTAGAATTGGACAATGTTTGTTCGAGATACAACTATTTGAAAATCTGGAATCTGAGGGTGCAAAAAAAATTGAAATATTGAGAAAATCGCCTTTAAAGTTGTCCAAATGAAGTTCTTAGCAATGCATATAACTAATCAAAAATGAAGTTTTGATATATTTACAGTAGGAAATTTACAAAATATCTTCATAGAACATGATCTAAATTACTTAATATCCTAATGATTTTTGGCATAAAAGAAAAATCACTAATTTTGACCCATACAATGTATTTTTGGCTATTGCTACAAATATACCCCAGCGACTTAAGACTGCTTTTGTGGTCCCTGGTCATGTATGGTTAGAAATATGGCTATATTCCTCACAAAGCTAAGCAATCTCAAATGGCCATCAGTTACAAGATAAACAGACCTCTAAGCATCTGTTTGTGCTTGCCTTGGACGGGTGGCCCTCTGGGACGTTCTGGTGGTTGATTTGCCTTAACAGGCGTCTTTCATAGTCCTGGTCCATTTCTACTGTGATCCACAGTACGACTCTCTCCCTCAGTCAGCAGATGGGGGTCCTTCCAGGTCTCCCATCCCTACAATAAAAAAAACAGATGTATCCATTATTGAATAACACTATACTCATAATATTCTACTTAATATCTGCTCAAGTGACAGCTGTCAAGCCAACATACCTATAATATTGTCACACAATCTTCCCTTCAGTAAAACGTCGGTCATATCTATATATCAGTTAATCACCTTTTGATTACCACATTAACTGTATTTTGATCTGGGGGGGGGGTTTCACACCCAAAAAAAATTATAACATACGTGTAACATTACATTAACTATATTAGAAATCCAAAAGCACACGTTTTATAGGTAATTCGTGGTCATTAAAAAAACAAGTGTTAATAGAGGAGGGAGCGCGTTAATGCCAGCAGGAGGGTTGTAAACAAGCGTATGTAATCAGTTGCCATGGCAGCTCGCTAGCAGCGCTGAGCTAACTGAAGCTTAACATCCAATAATATGACAGGATAACAACGTTTTTATGAGTTTAATAAATATAGGAGACCTTTAAGCCTCGTATTAGTAAAGAGAATAATCTTACCTTAACCAAGTGCTCAGGAAACCCACATTCTACAGACATGTATGTTTAGCTACGTGCACAATGATTTCCTAAACATCTAGTTCGTGTTTTCCCGACGCTGCAACAGAGTATTAAGGCTGTTTAGAGATAATGGTGTGATCATTGAGCAGAGGGCATCAATGTTTATGTTCATGTCAAGATGGCGAGCAAATCAGCTGTGAGAGTGTAATTCCGCGCACTGCCACAAGAGGCGCAGCGTGGCGCTGTCAGAGCAGTGCTAATCCTGCATTATAATGTCAGAAACCAACAGCACAGATTACAGATGAATCCTTCATCATGACTAATGTGTGATTGATTAGTCAGCTCATGCATGATATATATATTTCTAATATGATCTAATTTGATTTTTTAATCAATTATAATGCATTGCACGCAATTCATTTAGACAATAACTTGAATACACCTTTTCTATGATAAACCGGTTTTACATTTCTGAATTCAAATTAATTTTTCATATTATTTAGTTGATCTTAAAGTAAAAGAGTAATAATAATAACAAGCTTTTTGGAGAAAAAAGTCTTTAATGGTGAGATTTTTTTGCCATTTGGAATTATTAAGAGGAAAAAGGTAACTATTAAAGATGATTTGTTCTCAAATATTATCAATATTATGAATGGTATTATAGCAAGACTCTGTTCCCACACATGATCTGCTTGCCTCTGAACATCAGCTGTAGAAATGCGACATCTGCTGGTGGTCATGTGACAAAATGTTAAGAAGCAGTTCCCACTGGCACATTAAGGCATTAAAAAATCATATTTACTTATTTACATTAGATTCTGTAAATGGACAGATTCTGTGTTCACACACACACACTTCAGTGATCCTAATCCTTTTTAAAGGAACATATTGACAACAAAAAGGCTTACACTAAAGGGGTCATATCATACTTGCACGTTTAAGAAACACCCACTTTGAATGTGAAATGAGCAACAATGGTGATCTCACACCAGTTTTATTGCAGTATCATTCCCTTACCAAAAAGCAGTATACTTCAAGTTTATTTTATTAAGTATAGTTAAGTAAAGTTCAAGTATATTTTTAAGTATACTTTATGTAGTAAGTACACAAATATCAGTAGACTAGTAGTATACTTGTAAGTGTACTATTTCAATACTCCTTGGGACTAAATTGGCCCACTTTCTAGTATATAAAAGTATGCTTTAAGTATAACAGTAGTAAACTTTGAGTACACAACTAGTTTACATCAAAATTTTAGCTTGTACTGCAACTATGCTAAAAGTGAACTTATAGGTACACTGATGGTTTACTAATTAAATACTTGTAGTAGCATTTTTAGTACACTTTGAAGTATAGTCTGTAGTTTTAGTGTAGTTTTATACTGCAAGTATACTCGTAAGTTTTGTTTAAGTGAACTTTACATCATACTTTAAGTATACTATGTCCCTATTTAGGTATTAATTTGAATATATTTTGTTACATGAATATTTGAACATACAAAAATATTTTATTCTAGCCTCATGCATTCCTTTTTTATTTAGTTTAAAAGAAGTATACTAATTGCACACTTGAATAAACTTCTTTTTCATAAGGGTTAGCATACTATTATAGTTTTTTAATAGTTTACTATTAAATACTTTTTATTAAGCTTTAGCTTATTTAGTTTAGTTTAATTACTTGAAATGAAAATAAGTTGACTGCGCAACTAGCTGAAATGAAAATACGTTTTTTTTTGTTATATTTATTCATGTTAGTTAAGGTCATTTTTCTTATGCTTTCAGTTTTAGAATTTGTTATGGATAATTATGCCTGTCTCACATCGGCTTGCGGGTCTGATGTCATGTCAGATGTTTATAACCGACATCGCTTTATTCTTTGCACGGCACTAATAAACGATCATATTTATCAAATAACACGTTGCTTTACATAAACAACGGCCGATTAGTTAAGTTAATAACGCGCCGAGTAATTTTTTGATGCCATAACAGGTTCTGAGGAGATCATTTCTCTGTGAGGAAGCTAGTTAACATTAAAGCTAGCTCAAACATGACAACCAGACAGAAGACGCTAGCCCAGGACAGACAGGTGATTGTTGAGGTGAGATACAGAATCAATAACATTTACAATGTGAACTTACAAAAATATAACGTTACCATGCTACCAAGCTGGATATTCAACCTTTGTAGTAGTTTCTATCGTATAACGTTACTGTGAAATGAAGTCCGCTTCTTGGAAGAAGCTTTCAGAAACATATTTTCTTTCTTTCTTTCATCATTATTGTTAGTATTTTACATGACAGTAGTAGCGAATGGTATTTATATACAGCGTTGGGGGTAACGCATTCCAAGTAACGCGAGTTACGTAATCAGATTACTTTTTTTCAAGTAACTAGTAAAGTAACGCATTACTTTTTAATTTACAAGAGAATATTTGAGTTACTTTTTTAAAAAAAAATTTTTTATGTACTTTCCCTTCAGCCTGAGGCTTATTAATTTCACTTTTGGTGTGAAAAGGCTTTTATATTTGCCAAAAATAGAACTTTTTTATTTTAAAAACAAACAAGCAAGCCCTGTCCAGATTTAAAAAGTAACGCAAAAGTAACGTAACGCATTACTTTCCACAAAAAGTAACTAAGTACCGTAATTAGTTACTTTTTTCTGGAGTAACGCAATATTGTAATGCATTACTTTTAAAAGTAACTTTCCCCAACACTGGAAATATACCCATGGTATATATTTAAATACCGTGGTTTTACTATCTGATACTTTCGCTCTACCATAGTAAGTTAACTGTTTTACTATGCAGGTAAGTGATATTATTGTAATATTTAAATTGTAATGTTTTAAAGGAATACTAAGACAAAAATTAAAATGAGCTTAATGTTTACTCGCCCGCAGGCCATCCAAGATGAGTTTGTTTCTTCATCTGAACAGATTTGGAGAAATGTGGGTGCCTTCAGAACGAGAGTCTAAACAGCTAGAAAAACATCACAGTAATGCCGCTCAGCGAGTGATGTAATGCAAAAGAAACCTCTTCATCTTGGATGGCCAAATTTTCATTTTTGGGTGAACTACTCCTTCAGGGCCCCAAAATTATAATTCTATTACATGTAACTTTCATGTAGCTTATTATGAAAATACTGCGTGCTCAATTACATGTCCTCAGATAAATATCTGTGTATGTATGTACGTATGTGGGTATAGATTTCAAGGCACTATTCTTTGTAAAGCTGCTTTAAAGCAGTATTATAAATCAACTAAGCCCCTGTGTTTCATCAGGCACTGGACACTAAAGCTCAGTCACTGGTGTTTGTCAAACGCATGGTGGTTATAGCTGTATCCTCCATCACCTATCTGCGTGGGATATTTCCAGAGGACTCCTACAGATCCAGATACCTGGAAGGTATACGTATACACACTGATTTATTAATGGATGAACATCAGGCCGTTTGAAATATCTCATACAATCAATTATGATGAATGTTGTTCTTCAGATTTGTGTATCAAAGTCCTCAAACAGGATTGTTCATGCCCTGAAGCCCACAAACTCGTCAAATGGTAATTTTATTATTTCTGTTGTTTTTGTATAGCAAATTGCTGTTTGGATCCAGATACCTGGAAGGTATACGTATACACACTGATTTATTAATGGATGAACATCGGGCCGTTTGAAATATCTCATACAATCAATTTTGTTGAATGTTGTTCTTCAGATTTGTGTATCAAAGTCCTCAAACAGGATTGTTCATGCCCTGAAGCCCACAAACTCGTCAAATGGTAATCTTATTATTTCTGTTGTTTTTGTATAGCAAATTGCTGTTTGTATTAGAGCTGGGCAACGATTAATCGCATCCAAAATAAAAGTTTTTGTGTACATAATATATGCATGTGGACTGTGTATATTTATTATGTATATATAAATACACACATATTTTTTAAAAAATATGTTATGTTTATATATTAAATATATTTATATGTAATATAAATTATATGAATATAAATAGATACATGTAAAAATTTTCAAAATATATTTTGTATGTGTGTGTCTTTATATATACGTACATAATAAATATACACAGTACATACACATATGTAAACAAAAACTTTTATTTTGGATTAATCGTTCCCTAGCTCTAGTTTGTATATTCAAATGTATTCTTGAAAGTATATTTGTAATGCTTCATTGAAGTGTAAAATATAATGCTATAAAAAGTCAATATAACCATACTTCTGTCCTTCAAGGCTGTTGGGAAGTTTTGATGCATTGGAGAAGAGATATGTAAGTCAAAAGCACCATATTTAGATATAAATCTCTGTTTTTTCTTTCTTTCTTTCTTTTTAATTATTATTTTTTATATTTTGCAGCTTCAAATGGTGATCATTGGGGTCAGTATGCATGTGATTCAATTCTATAATATCCCCCCACATTATTTACATTTCCTGTTTGTTTTTTATTTTAATCTGCAGGTACACACAAGCCCAGATGACAGTAATGTAAGTCTACAATCTTCCACTGACTTTTTAGATCAGGGATTTTTTAAATTTTGATGCCAATGACCCCTAAATATATATATATATATTTTTTGTGTTCAAAATCATTTATACTGTGAGGCACTGTGCATGTGAAATAGTACACAATTACAACATTAAATAATTGGCTTTTATATTGTTATCATACTAAAGCCAAATTCTAAAGAATATTATTTTTTCAAGAAAATGAATATTTTCTGTAAAATTTATCTGAAGGTTTACCCTTTTTGGACCCAAATTGGAATAATTTTAGACGCAAACCTGAAAAGTTTCAATATATTAGTTGAGGCGTGGATCTAAATGTTAAAAAGTGGACATTAATAATATAACTTTTCCAAACTTGTTTTCTCAGCATGTCATCGAGTCCTACCAGTTTAAGTTCAGATACTCAGAGTGTGGACCACAGATGGACATCCTGTGGAGGTGTAGTATTGTACATTGTTTACTGTTTTTACCGTATTTTTGATCAAATAAATGCAGTTTTACTGAGCAATAAGAGCAATAAGAGATAAAAAAACATAAAAAAAAACATCATAAACGCTTTTGAATACAGACCTAAGGTTGGTCTCTTTTTAAAGAAGACAATATGCAGATTATTGCAGAAGTGAAATCATTAAAAAAAAACGAAAGCATAAAAAAGTTATAGAAGTTTAAATTTACTGTAAAGAAAATGTACTGTACTATTTTTATTGTATTTTATATAAAATAAATATTTTATAAAATATGTTTTAATCCAAAATTGCTATAAAATTAAAGCCATTTGTCTAAATAAGTTGTGTTCCAAATTTGAAGGTGATATTAAAAAAATTGAGGTTCCTATGCAATTTTGTTTAGGCGTTATACCACATCAGCCACCGGGTGCCATCCAAACTCCATTGAATTTTTTTTATGCATTTTTCTGTCACAAATGTATCAATTTCTCTCTCAATATTACTTCTATGACAAAGTAGCCACCAAATATGGAATCTTGAGACTCAGACCTTTCCAACGATATGTATTTTGACAAAATTATGAAAAGTTTTGATTCTAAAAGACCGCAATACATTTGGAATATGACACCTCCCACTAAGGGGGAGGAGCACGCTAAAAGATGTTAAAGTACGATTTCCATGGTAACGCAGTGTCCGATTTCAAAATGGTTTTCACAGGATGAATTTAGAGGTTTTAAGCTTTCAAATGATATTTAATTTATGATGATTACTAAAACATGTGATAGGGAAAAAGGAAACGAAAAATAATTTTAAACCTCCATTCATCTCACATACACTAATCCTTTCCTCTTTTCTTCATTTCAGTAACGCGACTGGGGACACAAGAGTGACCTTGGAGGACACAAAGAAAGCTTCAACGCTCCTGATCAGGAAGCTGTTCCTCCTCATGCAGAATCTAGAGGCTTTGCCCACTGGCGTTTACCTCACTATGAAACTCTACTACTATGATGATGGTACAATATATGCTGCCTTTACATCCTTCTGCAGTATGTTGAGAGAAGTAGATAAGAACGGTTTCTTCATGACAGTTTGTTGAATAGTTCAAACTAGTGATGTTTTTAGGAAAAAATGTATGTGCTTAGTGAAATATCGTAATGACTGGTGTGCTTTTGTCTCAATTTAAGTCACTCCACCTGAGTATGAGCCACCAGGATTCAAGGCAGGTGTAAATGACAGTCTGTGGTTCGAGGGAACTGCAGTGCACTTCAGAGTGGGCGATATTCAGTCTCGCTTCCACAGCATGAAGTTGCGGGTGACGGCAGCACAGAGCCGGCTTGGGAAGCTGCTGGAGGGAGGCCAGTTGAGTGAGAACGACATGGAGATGGAGACACCCTCTCTCTCTCAAATCAGAGCAGCAGAAACGGTATAAAGCAGATGTTATACAGGATGAACTTTGATATGCGTTTACCAGACTGGATTCAGATTATGAAACGTTTCTCTGTCTTGTGACAGGTGACCAGAAACTGTGAGCAGGACCTGCCCTCTGAAGATGGTAAGTACCTGAAACAAGTTTTTGTTCAGAAGGTCTGGTCTGACCAAGTGTGTCGCACACGTCCTGAAAAGTGAAGCCAAAACATTTTGATCGCCATCTAGTGGCTAGCTGCAGTATAGGTCATAATCCCTGCCCTCTCCATGTAAACAAATTCTTCCCAAAATATGTTTTTTTCTCATTTTAGGTAGTTCTTATCACGCTGATGTATGTTCAAGTGTTTGGTATCATAATAAGTTTCCTTTTAGTTAGTTATTTGATGCTATAAAAACGGGGTGTGGTGTCATGATTGTGTGCTAGTGATTGGGTCTGTGGGAGTTTGGGTGGGACTTTGATACCGTAACTCCAGCTCACTGCACTACATCACTACAGCGCAGACTTAGCTCCAAATGAATCACTACTGTGCTGTCTCGGGAACCAAATTATGACTTTTTCACAAGATGACAGCAGCCATATCTGGGATATTTTGCTTTCACTTTTCTATAGTGGAAGGAGGTGGATACGTGTCGTCCATTTTTTTTTTTTTTTTTTTTTCCAGTCCTATTGTCTTAACCTTTTGCAGAATCTATCGCACAGTTCAAACAGCCCAAAAAAGCTATAGCAAAGGAAAGGTATTTTTGATTTTTTTATAGAGATAAAAAGTGTTTTTTTTTTTTTTTACAGTCCTATTGTCTTAACCTTTTGCAGAATCTATCGCACAGTTCAAACAGCCCAAAAAAGCTATAGCAAAGGTAAGGTATTTTTGATTTCTTTATAGAGATAAAAAGTGTTTTTTTTTTTTATTCGTGTTTTTTTCCCTTTATTTATTTGCACAGAGGAAGTGTGTCCGAAGCAAAGTCACAAGGAGGAAAAAGAAGAAATGCTTTTGAAACCACAAGTTCACATCAGACAAAATGAGTTTTAAAGGGTTTTTGCTAATATATATATATATATATTAAGTTAATGGAATCCAGCTCACTGCACTACATCACTACAGCGCAGACTTAGCTCCAAATGAATCACTACTGTGCTGTCTCGGGAACCAAATTATGACTTTTTCACAAGATGACAGCAGCCATATCTGGGATATTTTGCTTTCACTTTTCTATAGTGGAAGGAGGTGGATACGTGTCGTCCATTTTTTTTTTTTTTTACAGTCCTATTGTCTTAACCTTTTGCAGAATCTATCGCACAGTTCAAACAGCCCAAAAAAGCTATAGCAAAGGTAAGGTATTTTTGATTTCTTTATAGAGATAAAAAGTGTTTTTTTTTTTTTATTCGTGTTTTTTTCCCTTTATTTATTTGCACAGAGGAAGTGTGTCCGAAGCAAAGTCACAAGGAGGAAAAAGAAGAAATGCTTTTGAAACCACAAGTTTACATCAGACAAAATGAGTTTTAAAGGGTTTTAAAGTTAATGGAAGTAAAATGCCCTTTTACCAAGTAGAAGTTTTTGACTGGGTAATTAGTTGTGGGGAATTCATCCTCCTCATATTCTAGAATTTTTATATTTATTGATTGGACTTATTGTTTGTAGTACAAACGATGTTGAATGCATGACACATCAGCCGCTTGTATGAGTATATACGTAAATTAAACAATACTTCACACTACCTTACGTGAAATATTCCTTCATAATACACACGCTTTTTTAGTACAATGATGCATCATTTTTTGTCATTAGTTCAAAAATATTACATGCATAGTGTCTCCTCAACCAAATTAATAGGTAAAGCATATATTCACAGCACAAGCATTGTCTGATACACATGCACATTAACCAAAATATCCCATTAAAGCTTTTTAATAATCAAATATAATAACAGTTACTTTAAAATAATGCAGTTTACATTGTTTATGCTCATTAAGAATCACACTATACTACAGTACAGGCACTTTATTGTGAAATATTCAGCTGTCATTACGTGACAGAAATTATGTTGGCACGCGAAACATGGTCCATTAGTGGTGGAGAACATTAATACTCAATAACAGTTAATGTTTCAATAGCTGTGTGGGAATTCATCCTCCTCATATTCTAGAATTTTTATATTTATTGATTGGACTTATTGTTTGTAGTACAAACGATGTTGAATGCATGACACATCAGCCGCTTGTATGAGTATATACGTAAATTAAACAATACTTCACACTACCTTACGTGAAATATTCCTTCATAATACACACGCTTTTTTAGTACAATGATGCATCATTTTTTGTCATTAGTTCAAAAATATTACATGCATAGTGTCTCCTCAACCAAATTAATAGGTAAAGCATATATTCACAGCACAAGCATTGTCTGATACACATGCACATTAACCAAAATATCCCATTAAAGCTTTTTAATAATCAAATATAATAACAGTTACTTTAAAATAATGCAGTTTACATTGTTTATGCTCATTAAGAATCACACTATACTACAGTACAGGCACTTTATTGTGAAATATTCACAGACAGCTGTCATTACGTGACAGAAATTATGTTGGCACGCGAAACATGGTCCATTAGTGGTGGAGAACATTAATACTCAATAACAGTTAATGTTTCAATAGCTGTGCGTTAGTGTTTAGAGAATGTTGGTAATTGCATTTTGCTCGAGTTCAAAATAGACTGTCCACATCACCCATCTCCACCACCACGGTCTTCAACTGAGTGTAAAATTCAATGGTCACCTGGCCATTTTCTCTTCCAATACCTAAAATCGGTAAAAATCTCATGTTAAATTTGAGTACAGTGTGTGTTTAATGTTACGGAGCAAACACAAACAGACAAATAATGTTTGGTAACTCCACCTGAGGCCTTGTATCCTCCAAACGGCACCTCCACAGGGGTGATATTGTAGTTGTTGATGAAGCAAGATCCAGCCTGCAGGTTTTCTATAACACGATGAGCTCTCTTAACATCTCTGGTGAGTCAGAAACAGACAGGAAAGGAAAATATTAGCAATGAGTATAGCTTTTTTTAACCTTTAGAAGTAACACCCAATCACACGTTCGATATCGTTCAAAAGTTTGGAGTCAGTTTTAAGAAATTAATACTTTTATTCAGTAAGGACACATTCAATTGATCAAATGCAACAGAAGAGACATTAAAATAAAAAACTATTATTTTCAATTGTAGTACTTTTTCCACAATATTACTGTATTTTTGATCAATTAAGATAAGAGACTTCTTTCAAGAACATTAAAACCCCGAAATGTTTGAATGGTAGTGAGCAAAAAAAATGATTTTCTCTTTACTTAGTAAAGACTCCTGCAGCCAGACCCAGAGCGCTGTCGTTGGCTCTCCGAAGAACCTCGTCCTCGGTGTCAAAGGACAGTACTGACATCACAGGCCCAAAGATTTCCTCTCTGACACACGTCATGTCATCTGTGCAGCCGTCTGAAAACAAAACACATGAACGAACACACAACACAGACTGCAGGAAAAGAACAGAACAAAAACAGGCCATTGAATGTTTCCAAAACACATGATCTCAACTCACCGAGCACACACGGCGTCATGTAGTATCCATCTTTTAGTTTCGGATCTGCTGGGATGAAGGGCTCCCCTCCGCAGAGAACTCTGGCTCCCTATAAAGAAAAAGTAACTACTTAAAACCATATCATATAGTAAATGATACAATAATGCTACTATATGAATATTTTCTGAACAACACTTGTACCTCTTTCTTAGCTTGCGTCACATATCCCAGCACCTTTTCCAGATGTGGTTTGCTGACCAGAGCTCCCATACGAGTCTCATCCAACAGAGGGTCTCCGATCTGGATGGCTTTAGTTCTCCTGGCCACCTCTTTCAAGAACGGAGGAAGAATTGAGCTTTGCACGAAAACTCTGGTGCCATTGCTGCACACCTACAAGTGAGCAATACAAAAAATATATACTCATTAATCATTAGTGTATAAATAATACATATTTTGATTAATATGGAGCTACTGAAGAGCATATTTATAGATGCACAATATAGGTGACCATAAACAGCATGCGCATCAATGCGAGTGGGTTTTTAATATTAGTGTTCAGTCTGATTTGGCTGATATTACCAAGGGATCATTGCAGACAAACGGTTGAAAATAAATGTGTTAAAGTTAGTTTTTTTCAACAAAAATGTATACTTTTATTCAGCCAGGATGCATTAACTTGATCAAAAGTGACAGTAAAACATTTATAATGTTACAATTTTAAGTAAATGCTGTTCTTTTTAACTTTCTATTCAGAATTTGACATTTTGAATTTAAAGCAATATTGTACTCGTAATTGTGCAGTTGGTCTGTATATCAGCATGGCTAGATGAAAAGTAGCTCTAATTTTTTATATGAAAGAGAGTCATAAGTTATGCGGCTTGTTGCCGAAACGTTTGATTCTCGATTGCGCTGTTGCAAAATGAAAATAAATTACAAGAAGATACAGTGAGTGTGGATCCCTTATCTGAAAGTGATGTTACTGATCGATCTACACTAAAGTTGAGCGCAGTGATCTTTTTTTTTTCTCGTGAATATGAAACAGAAAGGGAAAAAGATGTGTTAATACTTTGACTTGACTTTCCAGTACAGTACCTGGCCTTGAGACAAGAAGTTGGCCATGAGTGCTCCTCTGACAGCGTTTTCTAGGTCAGTGTCCTCAAAGATGATCAGTGGAGATTTACCACCGAGCTCCAGTGTCACTGGTTTGACCCCTCGGGAAGCCATTTCCATTATCTGTTGGGCCAAAATGTGCATTTGAATGAAGGAAATGCATTCCAGGATAGTTTCCATTACAACTACTATTAGTGACTTTCTCAATAGAGTGTACTGTATAATGTCTGGTATAATAAACCCAATTTAGATTAAAGGAATAGTTCACCCCAAAATGAAACTTTTCTGGAAATTTACTCATCCTCAGGCCGTCCAAAATGTAGATGAGTTTGTTTCTTCATTGGAACAGATTTGGATAAATGTAGCATTGCTTGCTCACTTGCTCACCAACGGATGCTCTGCAGTGAATGGGTGCCGTCAAAATGAGAGTCCTAACAGCTGATAAAAACAGCACATTAATCCACACCACTCCAGTCCATCAATTAATGTCTTGATTATTACAAACACACAGCTTTTCACTTCATAAATGCATTAAGACATTTTTAACTTTAAACCATCCCTTCTGGCCAAAGTATAAGTTCATAATCCATAATAATGCTTTCTGCAGGGAAAAAGTCCATCTCTTGTCCTCTCACATCAAAATCCACCTTCATGTGTGTTAATAACTGTCTTAGACTGTTTTCACTTGCTTGATCTGTGCATAATTCTCTCTTGATTCAGATGAGATGATTATTTTTTACTGGAGAAAATAATATTATGGATAGAGGACTTGCATTTTAGCCCAAAGCAACTGTTTGAAGATAAAATATCTTAATGATTAATTTGTTTCTTACAAATATACAGCTTTTCACTTCACAAGCCCGACTGGATCAACTGGATTGATGTACTGGAGTGGTGTGGATTATTGTTTTTATCAGCTGTTTGGACTCTCATTCTGACGGCACCCATTCACTGCAGAGCATCCATTGGTGAGCGAGTGATGTAATGTTAAATTTCTACAAATCTGTTCCAATGAAGAAACAAACTCATCTACATCTTGGATGAGTACATTTGCATTTTTGGGTGAACTATTCTTTTAAACCATACAATAAGCAAATTGTTTAAGTGAAGAAGTTCTGTGACAGCTATTACTATTAGCTCGGGTCATCTTACTTTCTTGCCTGTGGGCACACTTCCTGTGAAGGAGACCTTCGCCACAGATGGGTGATGACACAGCAGAGAACCCGTCTCCTGTCCGCCCTGCACCACACTGAAGAGGCCCTCAGGAGCCCCAGCCTGTGAATAAATCTCAGCCAGCAGCACTGCAGTCACAGGGGTCACCGGTGACGGCTTGAACACCATAGAGTTGCCTACAATTTAATCGTAAGACTGTGAATGGAGAGTATTAAGATAATCATTTCGGGCACAGATCTAGGACAGACCGAGAGCGAACAAAGAGGATATTAAACAAATAAAGTTCTTCACCAGGATTAGGGTCAAAGATTATGTTTTTATAGTGCACCAGGTGAAACATTTTCACATTTAACAGCTTCAAGGTATCATTCATGTCTGTAGCAGGACGCGTTATGTTGTGCCATAATTTAATAGTTAAAGGGTTAGTTCACCCAAAAATGAAAATTAGGCTGTGTTTTACTCACCCCCGAGGCATCCTATGTGTATGACTTTTTTCTTTCAGACGAATCCAGTCGGAGTTATGTTAAAAATTGTCTTTAATCTTTCAAGCTCTATCATTGCAGTCAGCGGGTGTAGCATTGCTTCAGTCCAAAAGAACTTCAATAAAAATCGCCCATCCACAAAAAAAAGTGTCTCACACGGCTCCGGGGGGGGTGAACAAAGGCCTCCTGTAGCGAATCGATGCATTTTTGTAAGAAAAATATCCATATTCAAAATGTAATAATCACTTTAATGTAGCTTGCGCCAGCAGTTGTACACAGCAGCAGTAGCACAGAGCATGACGTATGAGGTCAGCGTTGCGCATGCGCCGGTTAGTCTCGTGAAAACCATAGGCGTAATTTGCGGGTGGGACATGTCCCCACCACTTTTTGCCAGGGTCGATATTGTCCCTACCACTTTTTGAAAGTAATTGAAAAATATATTGCAGAAGGTATGTATTAAAGGGAAAACAAGATCAACGAATCATTCTTCATAATCTAATTATGGTGATAAAACAAACAAAAAAACAACAACATTTGACTCCTTACGCATGCATAACTCGTGCAGTGCAATAACGACGTGATTTGCAGCTGTCGCACTTTTCGTAATGTCATTAGGCTATAGCATTTTATTTTAAAAATAGAGCGCTTCCTTGTGCTAAGTAGGCCTGCCCTCTACTAAAGATTTTTCTAGTCAACTAGTCACACGTTATATTAAATTGATTAATATAATAATATATTAACCATATTTCAATATAGGCTATAGGCAGATGTATTAGGCTAGAGCCTATTCCGCGCTCAAGCTCGCGCATAAAGCAATTGCCTCAAAGCACCGGCAAAGTGATTATGAACGTGTCGGGGGGAAAAAAATAAATTTTAATTATTTATTAATAAACTAGTGCTTTCTGAGTCGGTGTCAAGCCCGGCTTATAACATGCAAAAGAGGAACTCCCGTTCACAAAATTCAAATCACAAATAATACTACTGATGAAAAAGTACGGGTCGAATGTTAACTACTTTCGTTTCCATATAACTATAAACTACGATAAAAGTTCATCAGCATGCTATTAATCAATGTAGCGGGGAAAAAAAAACCGTGCTGGTGCAACCAACTGAGAAAGTTAATTGCAAAAGAGCGACCAGTGGGAAGAATGAGTCTGGAGCCCTGAATTGCCCAGCTCCCTCTGTCAATGATCTAGCACCCCCTCAGCACCTGCGATCAAAATTCTCTGGCGCCGCCCCTGGTACATCGATGTATTTTTGAAAAGCAAAAATTAAGTTTGTCCAACTCTAAACCCAGTCCCCAAGTAAGTTAGGTTGTTAAACCTAATTGCGTGGTGTCCCCACCACTTTTCAAAGCAAAGTTACGCCACTGGTGAAAACCAACGTTTGTTAACAGGAGCAAAGAAAGCAAAGTTTCCTTACTTTAGCAAAGGAAAACCAGTCTCCTTTTGGCTTATATCGAAATCCTCCGACATTCTTCTTTACAAATCCTCGTTTTGTACTTCTAATTCTTGATCTTTGTTTTGTTTTGATCTCTCCGCTGCGTTTCCGCATGTGTCACTTCTGAGCAGCGCATGTGCAAAGCTGACCTCATACCTCATCCTCCCGGAGCTGCTTCCGTTTACAACAGTGAGCGCTAGCTACATTAAAGTGATTATCAAGTTTTGAATATGGATATTTTTCTTATAAAAATCCATTGATTCGCTACAGGAGGCCTTTGTTCACCCCCCGGAGCAGTGTGAGACACTTTTTTTTATGGATGGGCGATTTTTATTTAAGTTCTTTTGGACTGATGCATGCAACACCCGCTGAGTGGCATTAAACAGCTTGAAAGATCAAAGACAATTTTTAATATAACGCCGACTGGATTCGTCTGAAAGAAGAAAGTCATAAACACCTAGGATGCCTCGGGGGTGAGTAAAACGCAGCCTAATTTTCATTTTTGGGTGAACTAACCCTTTAAGGTTATAATCTTGTAATTTTTAGGCAAAATATCTCAGCTAGATTTTCTGGTGAAAGACAGACTTCTCTTGTTAATGCATTTTAATGTGGCTTCATGAGTAAACAGTTCAATTGTACACATATTGAATAAATCAAAAACTAAATGTGGGTCACGTTGCATTCAGCTGGTACGTTTTTCTTTTAAAAAGAAATATCTTTATGTATTTCTTTCTCCAGGAAAGAAAAATCAATTTTTTTTAGTTTAGTTGAGTTGACCCTTCTAGAATTTAAATTGATTTATTTTATTTTACTATTATTTCATTTGAATTATTATGAGAAAATCCTATCAAATTGTATTATTGTCAATTTATAACGTCATTTATTGGCCTATCGGTGGATACCTATATTTAAGGAACATGTTCTGTGATTCCAGTGTTCTAAAACACACTTATACAACTTATATATATATATATATATATATCACGTACCACAAGCGATGGCAGGGGCAGATTTCCAGGCTGCAATCTGGAAGGGGTAGTTCCAGGCTCCTATTCCCACACACACACCTAGCGGCTCCCGACGAGTGTAAGCAAACGAACCTCCTGGCAGCTGAACATGCTGACCTGAGAAAGAATAGCCCAAACCCACCTGTGTAGTCCTAAGTTAACATAACTATCATTTTCATTGTAATTGTATGTACACTACCAGTCAAACGTTTGTAATAATTACGATTTAAGAAAGAAGTCTCTTACGCTTATCAAGGATGCATTTATTTGATAAACAAAAAATACAGCAAAAATATAAATATTATAAAATATTACATTTAAAAGAAGTGTTTTCTATTTTAATGTATTTTAAAATGAAACCAAATGTGTATTTTCAGCATCATTACTCCAGTCTTCAGTGTCACATGATCCTTCAGAAATCATTCTAATATGCTGATTTGCCGTTCAGTTATAAATTATTATTAATGTTTTAATAATTAATAATGGTTCTTATTATTACCAATGTCGAAAGCAGTTTTTGTGGCTTAATATTTTTGTGGAAGCATTTTTAAAAAATATCTTAATTATAATGAACTCTGGACTGGCAGTGTAATTTTTTTTAGTAATGAAGTTTTAAAATTGTGTCTGTGTCTTATGAGAATGCTCAATGGCAAAACAACTAACCTGAAAGTGTAGTGGCTTGTCCTGCAAAATACTCAATGCACAGTCTGGCTGAGTCCACATCTAAACGGGCTTCGGTGATGGACTTGCCATTGTTGACGACCTCTATCTCCGCAATCTCCTCTCTTCTCTTCTATTCTCAGCAACAGAAATAACTGAAAAGATCAGACTCAACACGACTTGAATCAATGCAGCACTGTTATGTAATGTGTCAGGATGCCTGATCAATGCATTCCGGTCTACCCCAATGAGTCTAGCCGCCTCTAGCATGACTCTGGCTCTTTCCATGCCTGCCAGTTTACTCCACACTGTAAAAGCAGCACTGGCGCTCCTGACAGCTGCATTGACATCTGCGGCACCACAAGCTTGTAGCTGGCACAAAACACGGCCTGCGACACATTTATAAAGATCTGAGATGAATGATAATGTTTTTTCATAGAACAACATGGTGTATTGAGGAACTCAATGGTATATGCATAGCCAGATGTGACAGGGCCCCACAGAGACCCGGGGTCCGGAGAGAGCTCAGCAGGGCCATCTTCAAATGCCTAACACTGAACTTTGACCCCCTGGACGAGTGTCAACAAACCGGATCTTCTCAGATTTTGCACCAAAACATAGTGTTACAGCAATAAAAATAAAACAGTCGAGCATAAATGAGAAGAGATTTAACATAATAATAATAGTAATAAAAGTTCAAATTATTTGTACATGTAAATTCATTACTGTTTTTGCTGTAAAAGTCGAAAGCAACAACATCGGCCGTCCGCTTAAATGCAACCTCCCACATAGCAAGTGTTGCTATTTTCATTTAAGATTGAAAATGCTAATGTTAATAAGAAAAGGTTTCGCAGTGACAGACGTTCACTCACCTCCTGCTGCACGTCTGAAGAAGAAGATTGCGGATCAGTCCAGCCATGGTGGAGCATTGTAGGGCGGGGCTTATACGCGAGAGCGACTCTCATTGGCTTCTTCTTGATGATGTCATTTGACGATTCCGAAAAATGAAAGAAAAGTAAATGTACTTTTCTCCACATAAAGCAATCTTGTGGCATAATGTTTCTATTACAGTTAACCGGAAATCTCTTTATTTACAGAGTTGGATGGATAAAGGAATTTATTTTTTATCTGACCTTTTCGATCAGTCAGCTGAGATGCTTTCTTATGAAAATGTTATGAATAAATGGGCATTTCCCATTAAATATAGAGAATATTATTCTGTGATAAACGCCATTGCCACAGGTTTATTGATGTTAATGAGAAGCCATTAACATTTGTAGAATTGAACCCGTTCTTAATTTAAATGGGGTGGACATTAACAGTAAAACAACGCACAAATACATTTCTAATAAATATCTGTTTTCCAGAGATTATTTGGAAAAAAGCGCACAGTCTGGCTGAGTCCACATCTAAACGGGCTTCGGTGATGGACTTGCCATTGTTGACGACCTCTATCTCCGCAATCTCCTCTCTTCTCTTCTATTCTCAGCAACAGAAATAACTGAAAAGATCAGACTCAACACGACTTGAATCAATGCAGCACTGTTATGTAATGTGTCAGGATGCCTGATCAATGCATTCCGGTCTACCCCAATGAGTCTAGCCACCTCTAGCATGACTCTGGCTCTTTCCATGCCTGCCAGTTTACTCCACACTGTAAAAGCAGCACTGGCGCTCCTGACAGCTGCATCGACATCTGCGGCACCACAAGCTTGTAGCTGGCACAAAACACGGCCTGCGACACATTTATAAAGATCTGAGATGAATGATAATGTTTTTTCATAGAACAACATGGTGTATTGAGGAACTCAATGGTATATGCATAGCCAGATGTGACTGTAATCATCAGTGCACAAGTAACGCGAGTTACGTAATCAGATTACTTTTTTCAAGTAACTAGTAAAGTAACGCATTACTTTTTAATTTACAAGAGAATATCAGAGTTACTTTTTCAAATAAGTAACGCAAGTTACTTTTTCCCCGCCAATTTATTGATTGACAGCTCTCCTGTCCCCATGTTGAGAGAATTCAGAAGATGAAAAATAAACCCACAGATTCAGTATTCCTCAAAATGAATAAAAATAATGCAACTCGGAATATGACGCAAACCTGCAATAATTAAATGTTAAACAACACAAATATCCTTTATGTATTTAATCCCATTCTATTAACCAATGTCTTTGCTTCTGATCTTCGATGATCCAGTTCAACCGTACTAATAAGCACAAATTACTCGACAACATTTGTGCACTCTCAGAAAAAAAGGTACAAAAGTTGTCACTGGGGCGGTACCTTTTCAAAAGGCACACCTTTGTACCTAAAGAGTCCATATTGGTACCATAAAGGTACATATTAGTACCTAAAGTGTACATATTAGTACCTAAAAGGTGCAAAAGTGTACCTTTTGAAAAGGTACCACCCCCAGTGACAGCTTTTGTACCTTTTTTTCTGAGAGAGTGTGTCTTTTTTATTGCTGAAGTGTGTTGAAATGTCTTCTTCTGCGTTCTACTGTACGGATGTAAATGTACTTTCCCTTCAGCCTGAGGCTTATTCATTTCCCTTTTGGTGTGAAAAGGCTTTTATATTTGCCAAAAATAGAACTTTTTTATTCTAAAAACAAACAAGCAAGCCCTGTCCAAATTTAAAAAGTAATGTAACGCATTCCTTTCCATAAAAAGTAACTAAGTAACGTAATCAGTTACTTTTTTATGGAGTAACGCAATATTGTGATGCATTACTTTTAAAAGTAACTTTCACCAACACTGGTAATCATCGCATGGGCAAAGTCTGATTGATTGGGCAATGCTTAGAAGGGGTGAAATGAAGGAAATTGGTTTCAGAAACACATTACCTGTTGCAGGCTCATATACGGGTTCGGATTTGGTTTTCACATCTTTAAGGCTGACTCGGCCACCGCTCCAGAAGTTCAGCGAATCTTTGATATGAAGGGTTCCTGAGGATATGCTCCTGGTCCCGGTGTAGTACAGGGCCCCACAGAGACCCGGGGTCCGGAGAGAGCTCAGCAGGGCCATCTTCAAATGCCTAACACTGAACTTTGACCCCCTGGACGAGTGTCAACAAACCGGATCTTCTCAGATTTTGCACCAAAACATAGTGTTACAGCAATAAAAATAAAACAGTCGAGCATAAATGAGAAGAGATTTAACATAATAATAATAGTAATAAAAGTTCAAATTATTTGTACATGTAAATTCATGACTGTTTTTGCTGTAAAAGTCGAAAGCAACAACATCGGCCGTCCGCTTAAATGCAACCTCCCACATAGCAAGTGTTGCTATTTTCATTTAAGATTGAAAATGCTAATGTTAATAAGAAAAGGTTTCGCAGTGACAGACGTTCACTCACCTCCTGCTGCACGTCTGAAGAAGAAGATTGCGGATCAGTCCAGCCATGGTGGAGCATTGTAGGGCGGGGCTTATACGCGAGAGCGACTCTCATTGGCTTCTTCTTGATGATGTCATTTGACGATTCCGAAAAATGAAAGAAAAGTAAATGTACTTTTCTCCACATAAAGCAATCTTGCGGCATAATGTTTCTATTACAGTTAACCGGAAATCTCTTTATTTACAGAGTTGGATGGATAAAGGAATTTATTTTTTATCTGACCTTTTCGATCAGTCAGCTGAGATGCTTTCTTATGAAAATGTTATGAATAAATGGGCATTTCCCATTAAATATAGAGAATATTATTCTGTGATAAACGCCATTGCCACAGGTTTATTGATGTTAATGAGAAGCCATTAACATTTGTAGAATTGAACCCGTTCTTAATTTAAATGGGGTGGACATTAACAGTAAAACAACGCACAAATACATTTCTAATAAATATCTGTTTTCCAGAGATTATTTGGAAAAAAGCTTGGCTTCTTCCCTTTCGGTTTTGTATATCTAACAAACTTCAGCAAATACATCTGAAAGTACTTCATAATATTTATGTTAGTAACTATACTTTAGCTAAATTTATGGATATTGATGAAAAATGCTAATTTTGTTCAGATCAGCCAGAAAGAATTCTGCATCTTTTTTTTTTTTAATGTTACCATTCCAAACACTTCTGGGAAGATTTATCTATATATATATATTCAACAGAAATCTGAAAGACCCAAAGATGTTATCTTATATTTTGAATCAAAAAATGCATCTGTCAATTTTATGATGAATCTTATGATTTTATTTTCATAAAAGTAAAATAAATAGTTCTAAACCCTGTTTGAAGGTCTTTATGACTGATTTTCATTTGTATTTTGAGTCTCAAATATATTGATAACAAAAAATGTAGATACAATTTAATTCGCTAAAGAGTTACTTGAAAACTGAACGGGTATATGCTGTCTTTTTTTCCCCCTTTAAGTATTATTAATTTTTTCTTTTTCTCTATGTAATGTAAACCCATTCCTTTAATTGTGTTATCTTTTTGGATGTCTTGTTAAAGTTGTAAATGTTGCATGTTATGTCTTTAATGTCTCCAGTGACAGCTTTTGTACCTTTTTTTCTGAGAGAGTGTGTCTTTTTTATTGCTGAAGTGTGTTGAAATGTCTTCTTCTGCGTTCTACTGTACGGATGTAAATGTACTTTCCCTTCAGCCTGAGGCTTATTCATTTCCCTTTTGGTGTGAAAAGGCTTTTATATTTGCCAAAAATAGAACTTTTTTATTCTAAAAACAAACAAGCAAGCCCTGTCCAAATTTAAAAAGTAATGTAACGCATTCGCTGTCTTTTTTTCCCCCTTTAAGTATTATTAATTTTTTCTTTTTCTCTATGTAATGTAAACCCATTCCTTTAATTGTGTTATCTTTTTGGATGTCTTGTTAAAGTTGTAAATGTTGCATGTTATGTCTTTAATGTCTAATAAAAAAAAGAAAAGTAAATGTAATTTTAAAATATTTCATAAAATATATGCAGTGAACCTTATTGCTTCTAAATATGACAGTACCTTGCTTATTTTGTAAAGTTTCTATCAGTGTGAAATAAACCTAACAGAATGTTATTATGGTAATAATTATGATAAATCACTGGAATATGTTGTCATAACCCCCCATTTTATCTTATAGGGGTAAATGTTCATACGGGGGTATCAGAAATTCCGTCAATAAACCTATTATTTTGCCACAGATTTTAATTGAGGCAGAATCTGTTTTCTGCTTTTGCTAATATTGTCTTTTCATATGTGATGCCATTCATTTGCATATATTGGGACTTGTATTTAGAGATATATAAATATATTAATTTACTTAAGTAAAAAGAAAGAACACAAACAAAGAATATTTCAATGGTAACCAACACTGGTAATCATCGCATGGGCAAAGTCTGATTGATTGGGCAATGCTTAGAAGGGGTGAAATGAAGGAAATTGGTTTCAGAAACACATTACCTGTTGCAGGCTCATATACGGGTTCGGATTTGGTTTTCACATCTTTAAGGCTGACTCGGCCACCGCTCCAGAAGTTCAGCGAATCTTTGATATGAAGGGTTCCTGAGGATATGCTCCTGGTCCCGGTGTAGTACAGGGCCCCACAGAGACCCGGGGTCCGGAGAGAGCTCAGCAGGGCCATCTTCAAATGCCTAACACTGAACTTTGACCCCCTGGACGAGTGTCAACAAACCGGATCTTCTCAGATTTTGCACCAAAACATAGTGTTACAGCAATAAAAATAAAACAGTCGAGCATAAATGAGAAGAGATTTAACATAATAATAATAGTAATAAAAGTTCAAATTATTTGTACATGTAAATTCATGACTGTTTTTGCTGTAAAAGTCGAAAGCAACAACATCGGCCGTCCGCTTAAATGCAACCTCCCACATAGCAAGTGTTGCTATTTTCATTTAAGATTGAAAATGCTAATGTTAATAAGAAAAGGTTTCGCATTGTATTTAGAGATATATAAATATATTAATTTACTTAAGTAAAAAGAAAGAACACAAACAAAGAATATTTCAATGGTACTTTTAAATATTAGCTGAAAAAAAAAAATATATATATATATATAATCCGGGTAAATTGAAATGTATAAACAGGACTTTGCCGTGCAAGTTCTGCATTATTGTCTTCGTGGAAGAAGCAGTGAGCGGACGGTAGGAGGAGCAAAGAGTGTGTATTATTAGAGCAGCGACACACACTCTTGTGCTCGCACTGCAAGCATGGCTGGCGACAGTGAAACACACCTGAAGGACCGAGCGGAGAACGAACACGACACCCGACAGCCGTTCCTCATCGGTGTGGCTGGAGGCACCGCTAGCGGGAAGGTTTGAGCTTTACGAGTGTTTATCGGTAACCGTACAGACCCCGCTATCATCATGTAACGTTAGGTTAACGGGGGGTTTCTGTGACGCCGGTGCCTCCAGCGAGCGCGTGGCTCTAGCCAGCTCATAATGAACTACACAAGAAAGCTCAACATACGGGGTTTTCAAAAGTATTCACACGCCCATATATCTTATAGGTCAAAACCTATACATGTTATTTAAAACCTTTATACATTTTTTTGTCATTTGTAAAATCTTTTGTTTCGTTACTGGGAACAATGAGAATTTCTAAAGCGCGAAAATTAATTTAAAACTTGGGACTAACCGACAATTAATACTTTTCGTTATTCCGTTCGGATTCGCGTTTATAATCGCTGGATAACGTCATGTTGTATCTCCACGTGGCGCAGCGGTTTGAATCCCAGCGTGTCCTGCTGTCGTCTATTCGTCTATTCGCTTGCAAGCGACCTCGAACGTCTTCATCGGGGGGTTTCTGTGACGCCGGTGCCTCCAGCGAGCGCGTGGCTCTAGCCAGCTCATAATGAACTACACAAGAAAGCTCAACATACGGGGTTTTCAAAAGTATTCACACGCCCATATATCTTATAGGTCAAAACCTATACATGTTATTTAAAACCTTTATACATTTTTTTGTCATTTGTAAAATCTTTTGTTTCGTTACTGGGAACAATGAGAATTTCTAAAGCGCGAAAATTTATTTAAAACTTGGGACTAACCGACAATTAATACTTTTCGTTATTCCGTTCGGATTCGCGTTTATAATCGCTGGATAACGTCATGTTGTATCTCCACGTGGCGCAGCGGTTTGAATCCCAGCGTGTCCTGCTGTCGTCTATTCGCTTGCAAGCGACCTCGAACGTCTTCATTGGAAGCAGCGTTGCCAGCTCATTTTCAGCGGAAGTTGCTGAAGGAAGGTTGATTTGTTGCTAAAAGTTGCTAAACGACGCGACGTCATTGCGCGGTGACGTCATTGCGTAATCACGATGCAAAAATTGCGTCGCGGCTTCGAATCTCGGCAACAACAACAAAAAAAGTAAATATGTTAATTTAGATGCGTTTATAAAATAATATAAATAACTAATTTTAAATACAACATTGAATTATTAAACGCTCACATTTTTTAACGATTACAATTTAAGTTTATTTTTATTCGCTAGTAAACTAGTAAAACTACTCATTCTGAACCATTCTAGATTTAAGCAGTGTATTAGTAGTTCGTATGCTACACTCTAAGAAAAGTCTGTAAAAGTAGGGCAAAATCTATTAATGTGAAGGAATTTTCCGTAATTATTATTCACACGTTTTTTTTTTACCTGCATTTTAAATTACACATTGTATTTTTATGTTTTCGGGTTACAATGGATAACGGATAATGTCCTGGAAAATTACTACCTTTTTCATTTTTCTAGATATTTTTCTTACCGTGCACTAACTGATCAACAAACTCAAGTACAAGCTACTAACAAGGTGTATCATAAATTAACTTATTATTATTATTATTATTATTATTAAATTAAACAATTGCTAATAGTAGCCAACTTAATTCATGTGAGTTGCGTACTGCTAGGCACCTTTGGTTTCCTAGTTCCTTAGTTGCTAAATGTTGCCAAATAAATAAATAAAAATAGCTAAATTTGTTGCTAGGTGCTTTTGGAAGAAAAAGTTGCTAGGGTAGTCTGAAAAGTTGCTAAATCTAACAACAAAATTGCTAAGTTGGCAACACTGATTGGAAGTTTACTTATGTTTATTAGCTGCCATGCTGGTTTAAAAGTGGTTTGTTGTAGCTGTTAAAAATGAGAAATAGTGCCACTTCCTCCATGTAGGCGAAGGAAAGTTACGGGAACGTGACGTCATAACCGCGGAGGATGTTTACATTGACACAACCACCCCGTTTTAGTAACAAGCGTTCAGTAATCTTCCACTGACCTTCATGTACAGGAAACTTCCAATGCTAAACGATTACCACTGAGCTTGTGAAAACCCAGTTATGCTCAAATGGAACCATGTTACTTGCTGTCAAAATGTGGTTGCTTTATGCTCAGTGGCTCTGACGGGTCGCCCATATCGGCGGAATCAAAACGTCTGTCTATCATCCAGACAAATATAACTGAGGCCAGATTTTAAATGCACACTTGGCGCTGAGTGGAGGCCATGCTTCCCCGCTGGATTTCCTTACATGGGATACGTGACCCACCCCAGAGTTCACAGCACATGTCTGCAGAGACACTAGTGTCTATAGTACAAGTTAGAAGGGGGGTTCGCCAAAATTTGCTCCCTTTTTTCATGTTGTGCAGAACATAAAGATATTTTGAAGAATGTTTGTAGTCAAACAGTGTTGGTTCCCATTGACTTCCATTGTATGGACTACAAACACTAAGAAAGTCATACAGGTTTGGAACAACATGAGGACGAGTAAATGACACGGTTTTTATTTTTAGGCGAACTACTCATTTAACATATAAAATAATAGTCAGAAAAGCTTATTTATCTAGTTTATTGACTCTTTAGACAAATTATTTAAAAATGTGCATATGTAGGAGTATCATATTTGATGCACCAGGCTTTTAGGCCTCATGTAATATGATATAAGAGAATATGGAGATCGGTGTAACGGACTACTTGCATAAAATGCATATGAATATCAGTTTTCACTCTATATCTCTATAAGATGACATTTAAAATCTTAGTTTTGTGATCAAATCTCTGTAGTTTTATTTTTTTGTGCGGTAAAACATAATGCAATTATGATTGAGAGATGTACAAATAAACATTCCTCAAAAATAGCATATTTAATACTCGCATTTTAACACGTTCATTCTAAATAATGACATGCGGATTTTTGCAGTCCAGTAAGTGTAAATATTACTCTAACAATATAAAGTTTTCATGTTAAATTCATAAAAATCAGTGAAGATTTCACAGCAAAAATACATGGACCACAACCTGAAGGGGAGCGTTTCTTTAGAATTATACTAAAAGGCCTTTTATAGAAGGCATGTAGTAGAACCGTTTTTTCAGCAAAGTTTGGATCATGTTGATAATTTCGAGGGCTTAGAAGGTTGTGTCTCAAATGATTTATTAGTTAAATAACGCAACCACTGTGGCTTTAGCTTGTGTATATCTGAACTGGGGGGGTAGCTTAAAGAGTTTAGCACTTACTAAGCGGTTTTGGGTTCTCTCCTCTCAGTCTTCAGTATGTGAGAAGATCATGGAGCTGTTGGGCCAGGATAAGATTGACCGTCACCAGCGGCAGGTGGTCATCCTCAGTCAAGACAGCTTTTACAGGGAGCTCACACCTGAACAGAAAGCCAAAGCGCTCAAGGGCCAGTTCAACTTCGATCACCCAGGTACTTGAATGTCTGAGGGCTGTTAAAGAGGTCAAAAGTTCACTCAGAAGTTAGAATATACTCATCTATTACTTGGAATGGGGGGGGGGAACAAACAGCTCACATGGTTACTTCGCATGTAAGAACCAATGGTGTTTTGTCTTCAATTTTGGTTCAATCCTTACACAAAACTATCATATGGTTTCTGAAGACACGTGTCATATGGACTACTACTTCCTTTTAAAGATCCAAATTAAAACATTTTGAACAGTTTCTTACTGAGGATAACCTGTTTTTCAACGTTTCCATCATTCGCAGATGCTTTCGACAATGAGCTGGTCATGAAGACTCTGCAAGACATCATTCAGGGGGAGACTGTGCACATCCCAGTTTATGACTGTCTCAAATGATTTATTAGTTAAATAACGCAACCACTGTGGCTTTAGCTTGTGTATATCTGAACTGGGGGGGTAGCTTAAAGAGTTTAGCACTTACTAAGCGGTTTTGGGTTCTCTCCTCTCAGTCTTCAGTATGTGAGAAGATCATGGAGCTGTTGGGCCAGGATAAGATTGACCGTCACCAGCGGCAGGTGGTCATCCTCAGTCAAGACAGCTTTTACAGGGAGCTCACACCTGAACAGAAAGCCAAAGCGCTCAAGGGCCAGTTCAACTTCGATCACCCAGGTACTTGAATTGCTGAGGGCTGTTAAAGAGGTCAAAAGGTCACTCAGAAGTTAGAATATGCTCATCTATTACTTGGAATGGGGGGGGGGGAACAAACAGCTCACATGGTTACTTCGCATGTAAGAACCAATGGTGTTTTGTCTTCAATTTTGGTTCAATCCTTACACAAAACTATCATATGGTTTCTGAAGACACGTGTCATATGGACTACTACTTCCTTTTAAAGATCCAAATTAAAAAATTTTGAATAGTTTCTTACAGAGGATAACCTGTTTTTCAACGTTTCCATCATTCGCAGATGCTTTCGACAATGAGCTGGTCATGAAGACTCTGCAAGACATCATTCAGGGGGAGACTGTGCACATCCCAGTTTATGACTTTGTTACCCATTCCAGGTCAGCGCTGCGCTTCTCTCTCTCTGCACAAGTTGCTATTTTGGGTGTTTTGATGGGTGAATCACTGTTGGACGTATTATGAATCGTATGTTCTGCACACCTCTTACAGGAAGGATGAGTTTGTGACTGTGTATCCAGCAGATGTGGTTCTCTTTGAGGGGATTCTCATGTTCTACTCGCAAGAGATTCGAGATTTGTTCCAAATGAAGCTGTTTGTGGACACAGACCCAGACACACGCCTCTCGCGAAGAGGTAGATGACCTGACTGACAGTTTCACTTGCAATTTGGTTTAAGTAGTGCTTTTTGTCTTTATTTTCCCAAGTAGAGTAGATCTATGAGCTTTGCTGATTATAATGAGAGTGATTTCCTCTGGGTTGTCAGGGTCATTATCATTACCTGAAAGTCTGATTTTTTTTTTTTGTTAAATAGAAATTAATGCAAATAAGTTTTGCATTTTGCTGCATTCCAAAGTTTGAACTGACCTGTGCATTTTTATTTTATATTTTCATTTTTATCAATACCAATATAAAAAAAGTGTATATGTTTATTTATTTTATTTTTTAAAATATTTATTTTATTTTTATATTTATTTATTTTTATATTTTATTTATGTATTTGTTTATTAATTTTTTTATTTTTATATACATTTTTTTATTTT